ACTCCAATGTGTTTTCTGTATTGGCTTCCTCGATCGGTCCCAATCGCAATAGCTCACGCGTGGATCTGCTCCTGTAAGGTGCCCATTGGAATTTCGGATTGCAATGAACACGCATGATAACACTCCAATGTGTTTTCTGTATTGGCTTCCTCGTCGGTTGTTATCTGACAGCGCCTGGTGCTTTGGACGGTTGTGATCTGAACCGTCTGGTTGTGATCTCACGCGACCGCTCGCGATCTGAACCCATCGCGGACCGTCTCAGCGGATTGTGTGTCCATCCCCTATCTCTTGCCGCAGCTTGGCCCGACGAACGCGCGCAAACTTGTCTGCGAAAGTGTTTTGCCGCTGCTGCCACGGCGCAGTTTTTCATGGACCTAGCGCAGCAGGAGTGCACAGGAAAATATCCCCTGCATCCTGTCGTGGTCATCGTTGCCGTAGGTCATCGTCGTCGTCCTCTTCGTCGTCGTCGTTCGCGTTGTCACAGGCTTGCCGTCATCGTAGACTTCACTGTCGGACCGCATTCATTCGCCAACTACCCATGGCTACCAACAATGTGCACGAGGCGCTGGCCCCCTTGGCGACAAGGGGGCCCAGCTGGTTGGCGATGCCCTAGTGGAGCTGTTTTGGGACTCTTGGATGTTTTGGACGCTTTCTGGTGACCCTCTTCTCATTGGGGCCTTCGGGGGCGCTTCGGGAGCTGCCTCGGCGATCTCAGATCATCCGAAGCCTTCTTGGCGCTCGGCTGTGGAAGCCCAAAAGGCGAACGCGCACAAAAACAAAAAGAATCCTATAGGAGGTCGATGTTTATTTGCTTATTGGGGCTCTATTGGGGTGCCCCTTGGGGCGTCTTCGGGGCCTCTTTTGGTGGTTTTGCGGTTCTCTTGGGGACCTCTTGGGGCTTCTTGGGCGTTTCTTGGAGCCTCTTGGGGTCTCCCGGGGGCCCCTTTGGCCAAACGGCGTGCATTTTCGGTTCCCCGCCCCCGTCTTGGGCGCCGACTTGGGGCGTTCTTGGGCGGTTTAGGCGCCTCATGGGCCGCCTTGGCCCCCTCGCGGGCCGTCTTGGAGCCCTCTCGGGGGCATCCTCGACCGTCTTGGGCGCCTCTTGGGCCGTCTTGGACGCAGTGGAAGCCCAAAAGGCGAACGCGCCAAAAACATCAGTTTCCCCATGGGAAGTCGACGATGTCTGCATATTCGAAGCTCTATTGAAGTCGGGGCCTCTTTTGGTGTTTTCGGGCCTCATGGGGGCCCCCTGGGGCTTCTGGGGTGCTTCTTGGAGCCTCTCGGGGTCTCCTGGGGGTCTCTTGGGCCAAAAGGCGCGGATTTCCGGTTCATGGGGCGCTCGTGGGCGGTTTGGGCGCCTCGTGACCCGCCTTGGCCCCCTCGCGGGCCGTCTTGGGGCCCTCTTGGGGACATCCTCGACCGGCTCGGGCGCCTCTTGGGCCGTCTTGGACGCAGTGGAAGGCCGAAAGGCGAGCACGCCAAAAACATAAGTTTTCCTAAAAAGAAGTCGACGACTTTTGCTCATTGTGGCTCTCTCGGGGCGCCTCTTGGGGCGCGTTCGGGGCCTTCGAAGGAGCGGCCGCCTTCGAATAGCACTGGCCCTGGACATGACTGACCTCCGTGACTTCACAATCCAAACCTCGAAAAGTTGGATCGCTCGCAAAGTTGGCGATGCTTGCGGGCCGGGTACTGGCAGTGTTGGGCGCCGCAGAAATCTAGCATGCTCCAATTCAATGTCCGAATTGCAATGCTTGACACCACGAGCAGCTGGAGCTGACATCCTGACAGTCCGCTACATCCTAACCCAAGTCGGACCAAGTCAACGAAGTGCAACGGTCCACGCGGCCATTGCCAGTGCAACGAGTCTCCATCGCCAAGCAATGCGTGCGAGGATGCGTGGGTGTCCACGTCCCGATTCTTCTTCTGGTAGACAGTTTTCGCGTCGACCGTGGCGTTGAACTCAGCGAGCTCCCTCTCGAGGACGGCGGCATTGCGCGGCACGTCCACGTCGCCATCGTCGACGGCCCCCTGGGCGACGGCAGCGGCCCCCACGCCGTTGCGTTGGAAGAGGGCCTCGATCGAGGGCGTGAATACCATCGCCAGAAAAGTGGTCCGCGCCGCCTTCCAAGCAGCCACCATCCCGCTAAATTGTGCTGGGCGAAAAAAAAACAAAAAGAAAATCGGAAATCCAGTTTGCAGGAATAGAAGATCCGTGTTGAGTGCTCTGATGTGGCAATCAATGCTGCAGGAGGAGGGGGTGCGAGGAGGAACAGCAGCTGGAGCGGAGCGAACGGGGGGAGCACGAGGACGGAAACAAGGGCCGATCCTAAAGTGAGGCCGACGCTGCAGCGGGAGAACTATTTTGAAACACTGAGAACGATTGGAAACAAAACAACAAGAAAACAAGTAATGAAATCCACTGCAACCCAACACACACACAATTCGCGGAGGGGGATCTTCGGGGCAGGTTCAGGGAGAAGGAAGAGTCATATTCGGGTTGAGTAATTGTGGAGGGAGGCGAGCACGAAATGAACAATGGGGACAAGGAACATGACGAGGGTAATGAAGAGAAGGAGACGGAGGACACTGAGAGGAATCACGGAGGCTTATCACGTCCCTGGAACGCCCAGAAGTTGCCGCAGTAGCACTCTGGCCACTGGGCCCGATTGCACAAATGTAGCGGCCAGCGCTGCACATGAGCTGCTACATTGGGCTGCAGCTAGGGAATCCGCGCGGACCTCCGAGTTTGTATGTTTATGCAACTTGTTGTCCCCCTAGATTCGCACCAGGAAGCGGATGATGGTGTATACGGCATCCTGGTGTACACATTTTTGTTGTTTCCAGGGGAAAACGGGGAAACGAGTATACACCGCGCCACCCAGATGTCGTCCCCGGCTTTCAAAAAAGTCCTGGGATTGAGCAACAGCCCGCCAGTGGTTTTGTCTTTGCGCTGGTGACCGCGGCTCTGAGCACCGCGCACTGCGGAGTCCCCGCGACGCGCGCCGGTCGCCCCGGAGGAGTCCCGGCGACGCGCGGGCTGTCCGCGGCACGGAGCAAGAAATACAGGTGGCTGACAAAGGGCAGGGCGGTGGGCAGAGCGCGCGGGCGTCGGGCAGCACTTGGAGGCAGAACGCAGGAGAAACCCCGCGAGCCGATGGGGCCACGAAGCGGTGGAGCACACGATGGGGCCACGATACGTGTGAGGGGTGTGCCGAAATTGGCATGCGGCGGGCGGGGAGCCGCATGCGAACCCTGCCACTGGGGCCTTCAGTGGAGCTCTTTGTTGGGCCACGAAGCGTGTGAGGGGTGCGTCGAAAAGGACATGCGGTGGGCGGGGGGCCGCATGCGAACCTGCGACTGGGGCCTTCGGTGGAGCTCTTGATGGGGCCACGATACGAGTGAGGGGTGCGCTGGGCATGGAGCCACATGCAAACCCTGCCACTGGGGCCTTCGGTGGAGCTCGCTCTGGGGCCACGTGAGGTGTGAGGGGTGTGCTGACATGAACATGCGGTGGGCGGGGATCCGCATTTGAACGAAACGTGTGAAGAAAGTGCCGAGATGTACATGCGTTGGGCGGGGAGCCACATGCGAACCCTGCCACTGGGGCCTTCGGTGGAGCACCCTCTGGAGCCACGAGACGTGTAAGCGGTGTGCCGAAATTGGCATGCGGTGGGCGGGGAGCCGCATGCGAATCGTGTCTCGTGAGCATTCGGTGGAATTCCCTATTGGGCCACGAAACGTGTGGGGGGTGCCTGAATGGACATGCGGTGGGCGGGGGGCCACATGTGAACCCTGCCACTGGAGCCTTAGGTGGAGTTCACCTATTGTACCACGAACCGTGTGAGGGGTATACTGATATGTACATGCGGCGGGCGGGGGGCCGCATGCGAACCCTGCCGCTGGGGCCTTCAGTGGAGCCCCCTTTAGTCCACGAAACCTGTGAGGGGCGCGCCGAAATGGACATGCGGTGGGCGGGGAGCCGCATGTAAACCCTGCCACTGGGGCCTTCGGTGGAGCTCCTTATGGGGCCACGAGACGTGTAAGCGGTGTGCCGAAATGGACATGCGGTTGGCGGGGAGCCGCATGCGAATCGTGCCTCGTGGGCCTTCGGTGGAGCTCCCCATGGGGCCACGAACCGTGCGAGGGGTGTGCCGTGATGGTTGGCATTCGAAGGGCAGAGGCAAGGATGGGAGGAGGGAGGAGGGGGAGGAGGAATTAGTGAGGAACGCAGGGCGCTGTCTCCTCAAAACGAGGACCAGACACCACAGGATGGTTGGGAAACAACTCAACGAACGTGAAATCACATCACAGAAATGAATCGTCATCTTGGACCTTGGTGCAGACTAGACGGCACATGAGGTGCAAAGAAAAACGAAGTGGAACCCCCAGAAGGGCAAGTTTTACAGTGGAGGTCAGTCGACAAGGAACCTTCAAAAAGAAACACAACACTGAGACCGCAGGACGTCCATTGAATTTTGGCGTGGGAACGTCACGCTTTCCATCGCTTTGCCTCACATCAGTTCAAGCTCCGCAGCGGCATAAGGGGAAATAATGAGGGAGGGAAGACACAACTGAGCTGCTCAAATAGAAGGGTGGGGTATCTGAGGTCCGGCGACGCGGCGGGCTGCCGTCCAGAGGAGCTGTCCTGTCGCCGTCCTCTTCCCCCCTCATCCTCTTCCCCCCCCGCATCCCGCCGCACGAGCAGGGAGATGGAGGAGGGAGAGAACAGAGGGAGGGACCAGGAGGAACAGAAGGCGGGGCATGAGTAGAATGGAGGAGCGGCCTTCGCGTTCTCTTCGTAAAAAATTAGTATTACTATTATTATTAGTATTAGTATTAGTATTAGTATTATTATTATTATTATAATTATAATTATTATTATCATTATTATTATTATTATTATTATTATTATTTCTCCTCCTCCTCCGTCTCCTGAAGCGCGCATCTTCAACCCAGCGAACACATGCCAGCACTCATTGCCGTGCTCCCACCGGCGTGTCCTTTGGGTCGCAGAGCATCACCTTGTAGCACTTGGCCTGGGCCAAGCAACGGGGGATATGAGAGTAACTGAGAGAGCAAGAGGAGGAGACGGAAAAAACAAATCCGGGCGAAAGACCCAACACTATGCAGTTGTGGGTACCGCGTTATGAATACCGCTTCCCCTGGAGCTCCCCTACAGGGCGACGAAACGTGTAAGGGGGGCGCCAAACTGAAGGGTGGCGGCGGCATGCGAACACAGACACTGAGACCTTCGGTGGAGCTCCCTCTGGGGCCACGAAACGTATGAGGGGAGTGCCGAAATGGGGCGGGGCCGCGATGCGAACCCTGCAATTCGGGCCTTCGGTGGAGCTCCCTATGGGGCCACAAATCGTGTGAGGGGTGTGCCGAAGTGGAGGGGGAGCCGCATGTGAACCGTTCCAGTGGGGCCTTCGGTGGCGCTCACTATGGGCCACGAAACGTTTGAGGGGTGTGCCACCGTGGAGGGGGGGGCGGCATGCGAACCCTGCTACTGGGGCCTTCGTTGGAACTCCCTCTGGGGGGGGGGCGGCATGCGAACACAGACACTGGGGCCTTCGGTGGAGCTCCCTATGGGGCCACAAAACATGGAAGGGGTGTGCCAAAGTGGAGGGGGGACGGCATGCGAACCATGCCACTGGGGCCTTCGGTGGAGCTCCCTATGGGGCCACGGAACGGTTGAGGGGTGTGCCAAAGTGGAGGGGGGGCGGCATGCGAACAATGCCACTGTGGCCTTCGGTGGAGCTCCCTATGGGGCCACGGAACGGTTGAGGGGTGTGCCAAAGTGGAGGGGGGGCGGCATGCGAACCATGTCACTGGGCCTTCGGTGGAGCCCCGTATGGGTCCACGAAGCGTGCGAGGGGCGTGCTACAGTGGATGGGGGGGGCGGGGGGAGGAGGGAGGAGGAGGAGGAGGGGGAGGATGAGAACGAGGAACGCAGGGCACTGTCCCTTCAGAACGAGGACACAACTCAAGACAGGATGGTTGGGAACAACAAGACATGACAAGGCGACCGCATAATAAAAATGTGAGGGGGCGAGAAACAGAGAACAAACGAAATTCAGAGAGAGAGAGAGAAGGAAACAAAACAAGATGTGCCAACACAAACTGACATTTACCTGGGCGAAGGACCCAACCATATGCAGTTGTGAGTACCGTCGTTGTAAGAAATACCTTCCGAAGGGTGCGCCAAAATCTGGCGGGGCCGCAATGCGGGGGCTGCCGCTGAGGCCTCCAGTGGAGCTCCCTACAAAGCGACGAATCGCATGTGGGGTGTGCCAAAGTTGAGGGCAGCGGGATGTAATTCACACCGCTGGGGCCTTCGGCCGAGCTCCCTGTGTTGCCACGAAGCGTGAGAAGGGTGTGCTAAAGTGGGGTGGGCGGCACGCGAACCATGCAACTGAGGCCTTCGGTGGAGCTCCCCATCGGGCCGCGAAACATGTGAGGGGGTGTGCCAAAGTGGAGGGGGGACGGCATGTGAACCCTGCCACTGGGGCCTTCGGTGGAGCTACCCATGGGACCACGAAACGTGTGAGCGGTGTGCCAGTGGAGGGGGCGGAATGCGAGCACAGCCACTGGGGCCTTCAGAGGAGCTCCATATGGGGCCGCGAAACATGTGAGGGGTGTGCCAAAGTGGAGGGGGGGCGGCATGCGAACCCTGCTACTGGGGCCTTCGTTGGAGCTCCCATGGGGTCACAAAACGTGTGAGCGGTGTGCCAACATGGAAGGGGCATGTGAACCATGCCACTGAGGCCTTCGGTGGAGCTCCCTATCCGGCCGCGAGACATGTGAGGGGTGTGCCAAAGTGGAGGGGGGACGGCATGTGAACCATGACTCTGGGGCCTTCAGGGGAGCTCCCTTATCGGGCCACAAAAAGTGTGAGGGGTGTGCCAAAGTGGAGGGGGGGCGGCATGCGGACCATGCCACTGGGGCCTTCAGAGGAGCTACCTTATCGGGCCGCGAAACGTTTGAGGGGTATGCAAAAGTGGAGGGGGGGCAGCATGTGAAGAGGAGTTCCTTTATTGGGCCACGAAACGTGTGAGCGGTGTGCCACAATGGAGGCGGGGCAGCATGCGAAACATATCACTGGGGCCGTCCCTGTGCTCCGTATGGGGCCACGGAACGTGTTAGGGGTGTGCCGAACTGGTTGACACGCGGAGGGCAAAGGCAGGGTTGGGGGGAGGGAGAAGCGGGAGGAGGAGGAGTAGAGAGGAGAGGACGACGCGGGGCACCGTCCTCCTCGGAGTAGAGAGGAGAGGACGACGCGGGGCACCGCCCTGCTCGGGAGGGAGGGGATGAAACGGAACAAGGGGAGAACAAAGAAGCCGTAGCAGACCAGACAGATGGGGCGAGAAATGCGACAAGCTCCCCTGCACTCCGTCCCTCTCTCCATCCCGCTCCCCCCGTCCCTGGTCGCCCTGCCAGGTGTAAAGAGGCGAGCCCTCTCCCCTTCCCACCCATTCCTTCTACCCCTTCCACTCCCTGCCCCCCAGCCGCCTCCTCACCCCATCCCCCTTCCCTCCTCTCAAGCCTTCCTTTTTCAATCGTTCCCCTCCGCCCCCCTCACCCTCCACTCCATCATCTCCCCCTCCATACCCCCTCCTCCTCCTCCTCCTTCTCCTCTTCCTCCTCCTCATTATCCTCCTCCTCCTCCTCGTCCTCCTCCTTCTCCTCGCCTCCTCCTCCTCCTCCTCCTCCTGTTCCTCCTGTTTTCATTTCGTGACCGAACACAAGCCGTTAATGGTGGGGTGGAGTCGGGGTCGGCCTTGGAGCTTGGGGGGGAGGAACAGCGATCTCTGGCTTCGAATTCGATCACGAGATTTTCTTAGCTAGTGACAATCAGTTAGCTGACGAAGCGGCCAGTGAAGCGGCTGAGCGCTCCTGGTCCCGTCCGCCACCTCTGTTCCAGCTACAGACGCGTGGGACCTCACGGCAGCTCTTGCTCGACGGAGAGCTAGGCGGGCCCTGGCTGAAGCGTCCCTCGCGGATCCTAAGAGGCGTAAAGTTGCGTCGGAGATCGAACGACCAAGGCCTGCCACCTGTCTTGAGCTTGCCGCGAGAACGAGTGCACACAGATTTGTTCCCGTGGGCACCTCCTTCAGGTGCCAGCGTTGTACTTTCATCTCTCTAAGCAGAGCCTCTTAGAGGCCCTGAAGTCCGAGTGCTTTTCGCCGCAGTCCGTTCTCTCGGGGTTCCCTCGGGATGTGGTCCTGGCGGTCCGCGGTGGTCTCTCTGTCGGTGGGCGGGCTCTCGACCCCTCCCACCGTTTAGCGCACTGGGACTTGCACTCCCTGCACTTTTGTCTTCGGTGCGGTCGCACCGCCACGGTCGACGCCCGACAATTAACAGGCGTGTGCGGAATCCCCTCCCGAAAGGGGAGGGAGAACTTGAGCCGCATCCAAAGAGGCCTGTTCCCCAGTGTTGCTGGACCCTCTCGGGCCTCACTGGCCATCTCGCACGAGAGGGTGGTGGCTGCGTGCACCGCCAGGGATGCAGCACATCGTGCCAGGGGGGCAAGCCCTGTACCCACCCACTCTCCCACCTCCCCTTTCGGGGAGGGCGGGGAGTCGGGGGTGGCTGCTATTGAGTCGCCATCTGGGGTGCTGGTGCTTGGCCTCACTTTTCCTCCTCTTTCCCCGCTCCCCTTTTTTTGCACGCTGTGTTTGCCAAAAGGTCCACCAAAAGGTCCTGTTCCTCCTGTTCCTCCCTCTCCCTCTCCACCTCCACCTCCGCCTCCGCCTCCTCCTCCTCCTCCTCCTCCTCCTCCCTCCTCTCCTCCTCCTCCTCCTCCTCCTCCTCCTCCTCCTCCTCCTCCTCCTCCTCCTCCTCCTCCTCCTCCTCCTCCTCCTTTCCCTCAGCAAATACGACCCGCCAGCCTGCAGGTAATTCTGCACGTTGTCCGCCCACGTGGCGGACAGACTGAGGCCTCCAGAGCCGGCGTTTGATTGCCAGGCGCCACGGGGTGAGGGGGAGGAAATCGAAGGCGGGGATACGGGGAGGAAGTCTGGAGGGTGAGGGGTTTGCGTATGTGGATATATGAGCGGTTCCGCCTTTCCCTCCCCTCTGTTTTCCCCGCGCCCCGCCGTGTCCCAATGCGCTTCTGGCGCGCCCCGCCCATAGACCGAAAGGGACCTGCACCTGCTTCGGCCCGCATGCGCCCGCTGTGTTTCAAAAAAACGAGGAGGGTGAGATTGGGCCCAAAACCCCCAAACCCCCCGAGACCCCAAAGGACCGCTGCGGGAGCCCCGAAGGGCCCGCCGGAGGCACCCGCGCGGCCTCTGCGCAGGCCCCCGAGAAAAACCGGGGCCCCGCGAACCCCCGCAGAGCGTCGCAAAGGCAATTGGCGCCCGCACCGCTCCTCCGCGCACTTGCGCACACAGCATGCACAGCCACCCGCGGTCTTGCCCCGAAGCGCGAAGCGCGGCGTGCGAACTGCAGCGCAAAGGTGCTGATGCGTGGGCGCGCGCATGGATGTGCCCCTGCCTAGCTTCCCGCACTCGAGGATAAGTGCGAATGGGCGGGCGCGGGGTGGGTCGCGAGTGGATCGCAGGTGGCCCGCGGGTGGGTCGCGGGGTGGGTCGCGGGAGGGCCGGGGGGGGGGGACGGCGACGACGACGACGACGACGACGTCCACACCAACAATTATATTAAGACTGTTCGCTCTTACACGCTCCCGCGCCGTTCAACGCGTACATGTCACACCCGCGATGCCCGTCTCTTCGTTTTCGATCGTACCCTCTTCGGGGTAAATATAGTGCCCCGCTCCCTCCCCCCGCATGCCCGGCGGCTCTTTTGACGATGGCGCGCGGGAAGAAACCTCAGTGAAGAGGCGCGCCCTATGGCGCGGCAGCGAGCTGGGAGACGCGGGGCGATGGCCACCATAAGAAATGCAGGCCATCTGACCGCGACACCCAAAAGCTGCAGGTCGGGGGGGCCCCTGGCGCACCCAACCCTCGATGCCGACAGGGCGCGAGGAGCCGACCTGCGCCCGCCGTGGCCAAACTGGCGAGCGGACGGCGGATGCCGCCCCGATGATCATGAGAAAATGGCGGCGGGGAGCTGCAAGCGCCGAAATGCCTGCGGGCGCTGCCCCTCCACTTTGCATCCGGATCGCATCCATTGCGCCCCGCCCCCCCCTCCCGCATGCCCAGCCGCTCTTTTGATGACGGCGCGCGGCAAGAAACCTCGGCGCAGGGGCGCGCCCTATGGCGCGGCAGCGAGGTGGGTGGAGACACGGGGCGATGGCCGACAGAAGAACTGCAGGCCACCTGACAGCGACACCCAAAAGCTGCAGGTTCGAGGGCCCTCTGGCGCACCCAACCCCCGATACCGACAGGGCGCGAGGAGCCGACCTGCGTCCGCCGCGGCCAAACAGTCGAGCGGACGACGGATGGCGCCCCAAGTCTCCCTTTCCACGGAGTTAAGACGGCCTCGCATGGCAGTCCCCTAGCGAAGCAAGCCAGAAGCGACTCCAAGCAGCCGCCACGCGCGCCACTTCTGCTGCGGAGAAGGGCCCACTCGCCCGACGTCAAGTCATCAGCGAAAGTGAATTGAGAACGAGTTACAGTGAACAGCTCCATGGGCCTCGCGATCGCGTCGAAACCGAAGACGACGAAGAGCCCCGCGCATCGCCACTGCTGTGCAAAACAGCGCTGCGCGAGCGCGTGCGCCCACAGTTTTGGGAGCGGGGGGGGCCTGCGAGGTCGTGCCCGTTCGTTGCCGCGCGGCGATGAGGCGCCACGACGCCCTGGCGCGGCTTCGAATTCGAAGTGCGAAACACCTGACAATGCATCTGCGGCCACAGCGCTACGCTCGCCTGCTTCCCAGATAAATTCCATGTACTCTGATAGCACCGCGTCGAGCGCCGCTGCTGCCTTCGGCCAGCGGCGGCGAGAATTGAAAAGGCGCCCCAAAAAGCTCCAGACAACGCCAGGAAGAATACTAGAGTCGAGTGGCCGGCCGAACCAAAATGTCACGAAGCCTGCCCAGAGAGCGGCGCCCCGCCGCCCTGCCACCGCGGCCAGCCGCGCCTGCAGCCGCTTGCCCGCGGCGGCGGCGCCTGCTCAGGGGCGCCCCAACCTCCGTCGTTTCCATCGACTCGGCCCGCGCGCGGGGTCGCCCTTGCTCGGCGCCCACATGTGAAACGCCCGACACTTTGCAATGCTGCCGATGGCAGCGATGCGGAGGAGCACCTGGTTGAGGTCGCCGGATGGAGAGCGGCCTCTCGCGATGGCTCCGATCGCCGCTTGGCTGCCCAAGAGAGAGAGCTCGCGCGCCCCGCGGTGCCCGGGCGGCCTGAGATGGGCGGAAGAAGTCCAAGTCGGCACTGGCCTCCAGGACGTCGATGCGCTGCTGGTTCCCGAATGCGCAAGACGGCGCCACCATCCAGGCCCACTGCCTAGCGCCGAGAAGGGCCCAGGGCTAGGCGTCGAAGCAATGGGGGAAGCCTGCATCAAGACGAGCTCCGCCTCCGGCACGCATTTGCTGTCGGTGGCTGCGGACGCTGGCGCAGGAGGAGGCGAGATGGCGGTGCCGCCGCGCGTCTCGCCCCACCTGCGCGTCGATGCCCGCCGCGCATCTGCGTCGAGCTTCGCCAATGTAGCCCAGAGATCGCCAATGCAACCGCGCCGCGGGCCTTCCGGAGGCTTCGGCGAGGATGTCCCGAGCGCGAAGTCTCGCAATCGTCCACGCGACCACAATGGGGCACGCGCCGACGGCAAACTCGGCTCTGGAACCCTCAAGGCCGGCTTCGGGGCACAAGCGCTCCACGCCCCAGCGGAAATCCAGCGCGCGGATCTGCGCGCCGGCATGCAAGCGCCAGGGGCCGCAAAAGTCAGCGACCAGATTCTTCTCCGCGGCGCGCGGGAAGCAGGGGCGCGTCGTGCAAGCACCGTCTCAACGCCTAGTCAGATACTTCCGCGGGGCGCTCCGGCCGCCGCCCGGGCGCGGGGCGCGGCGCGGGCGACCGAATGGCTGGAAGGGCGTCTCTGCATCGACGACGCGCCTGGCACCAGACTCGAGCAAGTCCTGCACAGCAGGCGCGCAAGTGCAAGCGAATGTCCAGAATTCCCGACCACGCTCCGATCCCGAAACAAAGGGCCTGAAATCGGAAGCTTCGCACGGCCGAAAACCGCGAGCCGGGCACGCAGACCCCCGGGCGCAGGTAGAGGCGCTGGCAGCTTGGACGTGGATCGGCTGGAGGCCAACCTGCCTGCTCACCACGTGGATGTCCGTCTCTGCAAGGGTCGCCTCGTGCTCGATGAGGCCCGCGACGCCCCGCATTGCGCGACGCCGCAGGAGCTCGGAATGGCGCAACGCCACGCGGGGGTGAGATGATCGGCCCCGCGAGTCCAGAGCGATCACGGACACGCAGCCGCAGCGGAAAAAAACCGGCGGACTCGGGCATGCCAACTACCCCACTTGAGAACCCCCCATGCGCGACGGCGGAGGCGTCGGGGCAGAGGAAGGCTCGCGGCCAGGCGGCACGGACCACCCCGCGGGCGATCTTCGACGGCTCGACGGCGACGATGCCGCGGGGCGCGACGCCGAATTGGTCGAGGGCCATCGCTGCCCCACCAAAGGTGCCGAACTCGCTGACGACGAGAATGTCGGAGGAGCAGGCGGGCGCGCGGCGCGGAGCGCGCCGTGCCAGGCCACCCCTTGGGCGACAGGCCAACATATGCACGCGCGCCACATCTCGACTCAGAAACATCGGCGGCCACGAGCATCTCAGAAGACATCTGCGCCGCGAGGTCTGTCCAGAGGAGGGGCGCGGCGAGGCGGGCCGCCAGAACTCGCCCGCCGCGCCCCCGCCAGAGGGCCCGGGCAGCCGCCCGACAGAGAGCTCGCGGAAGACCCCGCTGAGGAAGGAAAAGTAGCCGCGGCCGACCTGCATCGCGAAGGTGGCCAGCCCGACGCCCGATGGGGAAGGGGGGCCGTCGCCATCGACGCGCTCGGCGGCGAGGTGGCCCAGCGCGCGCCCGAGGCAGCGGGGGCGCCGCGACGGCGACGCGCCGACGTGCCCGTCGGCCCCCCGCAGCTGCGCCCCGAGCGCCCCCCACATTATGACCCGCGGACTTCTCTGGAGCTCGGCGCGCCCCAGCGGCGACGAACGCAGCCCGAACGGCGACCTGCTCACCACTAGGCTTAAAGACGCACTGATCCGCCTCCGTCTCAAGGGCCACCTTGCTCTGACCCCAGTTGTCCACGTAGACGGAAAACCACTTCCGAGGAAGGCCTGAACTCGACGGCGCACGGCGGCCCACGCGAACAGGAAGGTCCGTTGAGATGCCAACCCCGCGCGGCGCCATCCCTGCGGCGAGGCCCCCGCGCGCCTCCCGGATGAACGCCGCGGCGCTGACCGGGCCCGCGGGTCGCGCCCGCGCCCGCGGGCGCGCCCGGGCGGAGCCGGGGGGCCCGAGAACCCACCTATCCAGGCGCGGCACCCTCGACGACGAAAGCGCCCTCCAGGCCCGCGGCGCCCGGCAGAGGTGGAGGCGCCCGCTCTGGCCCTCCGAATAATGGGCCTGGATCTCGCCGGGGTGGAGATCCAGACGGGCCCGCGGGCCCGGGCAGTCCATGGCCTTCCCCGCGGCACGAGGTTGGCGACGAGGCGAAAGACCCGACGATGGCGACCGCCAACTTGTTCCCAAAACTTGTGGACCCCAAAGAGCCCGTCGCGGACAAGGGCCCCACGGCGCGTCCACGTCTCCTCCGGGGCCTCGGCCCCCATGGCGCCTAACTTGCACGAGTCCTACACGATCTTGCAGCACTCGGCCTTAGACTCTACGAGGGCGCGGGCTTTCGGCAACGGCCCAGGAATTTCGCCCTCGGGAAGCCAGGGAAGGCTGGGGCCCAGTAGAGCCCCGCGAGCCCGACCGCCCAGCAAGTCAGCGAGCTCCACATGCGCAGCAACCTCGGGGCTGG